CCGCCTTCGATAAATAGGCGGCCTGCAACAACCGGTACTCCACCCCGTTCTTTTCGCAGCCAATGGGCAGCTCGACGTACGAGTTGAAGGCCGTGTCTTCTTTACAGAGGCGGACCAGCTTCGAGGTGTAGACCTGCTCCTTGGTGGTGGAACCCGACGGAGAAATCATCTCCGGCTGAAGGGTCAAGAAATAGACAAAGTTGCCACTGCTGAAGCCGTAGATGTAGTAAATATCAAAGTCTGGGATGATGGTGAACGTGTCCGACGGGATCTTGATCATGGACGCCACAAACTCGTCATGGAAAACGTAGGCAAACATGCCTTCCGCTTCCGAGTTTTTGGGCAGCTTCCGGCTGGAGATGGTGGGGAAGTATTCGGGCTTCCCGTCCACCGCCGTGGCAATGAACAACTTGTCGTCCATGTTGTTGTAAGAAACGATGACGCCATACACCGACCCGCTCTCGTTCACCCCTGAGAGGTAGTGCTCCTTGTTGTGGAAGGGCTCCCCCAGTTTGAACAGGTCGTCCAACCTCAAGAGTTTACAGATCCCCTGATACAAACTGCCGCAGGCGATCAACCTGTTCTCTTTGTAGTCAATTAGTAGCATCTTGTTGATGTTGTTGGTGGATACCAACGGCTCGTTGCAAGGCTGGACTATCTTGGGAGGATAACATTTGGGGTTATCGATATCCGGACCCGTCTCGTGACGAGCCTCTACCCCCAGCTCGCCGGAGAGCTTGTAGATCCAGTTGATAGCCCCCAAGTAAATCGATCCTTTCCTTTTGTCAACCACCAAGTGATTGAAGGAGATCTCGGCGGCTTCTGAGGAGAAGGTCAGGAAAGATTTCTTTGGGTGAGAGGGCAGCTGCCTAGCGGCCGAAGACGGCCCCACCGTGCAGAACACAAGATGCAAGCCAATGCAGGTCCACCTCCACATGTCTCCCGACATGGTGGCAAAAGGTATTTTTTTTTTTGTATTCCTAAATTGGAAGCGTGGTGGAGAACAACAAACCAGGTTTCCAGAGTGCCGATCCTGGAGTACAGCTTATCCTAAGGGAAAAGAAGAGAAAATAGAGAGGCGGTTATTCCTTCCCCTCCTATTCAGACCTGCCGTAATTCAAGAAAGCTGGCTTAAGAGCTAATTCTCCCCGTCTCCTTTATTTATCCTTGGGAAAAAGGAAGAATGACGAGATCGACAAGCAGAATAAGCAAACGCTTCGACTCGTGTTCCAAGCAGAAGAAGAAAGGGACGCAAGCGTTGTCTCTTCCCAACCATCTTCCCCAACCTGGTTCCTTGCCAGATGTCTGGGACTTTGGTTCTCGGACTTGCCGGCTAACCAACGCGACGAGGAAGCGTGGGCCTTGAAGGCCGGCATATTGGAGAGCATTGGAGAAAACAGTTGATATGTGATTAAGGCACCAGGCTAGAAAGAGGGAGACCGTAAGTTCTAGTCCTGCCTTAGGCACAAAAGCCGGCTGAGTGATTTTGGGCCAGTCACCAGGAGACGGTGAGTTCTAGTCCCACTTTAGGCATGGAAGCTGACTGGGTGACTTTGGGTCAATCACCAGGAGACGGTGAGTTTTGGGCTCCTATACGGTATGCAGAAAGCTTGCCAAGCAGTTGCACCCGGTCTCCGTCTTTCTGGGAAGCCTCAGCCAAAGCCCAAATCCGACAACAGCAAAATTACATTATTTTCCTCCAAAGATATGAGAGAGAGAGGGGGGGGAGGGAGGAAGAGAGAGAGAGAGAGAGAGAGGAAGAGAGAGAGAGGGAGAGAGAGAGAGAGGGAGAGAGAGAGAGG